GTTTGCTGATGTACTGCACAATATTTGGTTTACCCTGGTATAATAGGTCTACAGTACTATACTTTAAACTGGTGATATACAGTCATTTGTATTTAATATAGTATATGATTGATAGTAACTTTTGGGTAGATTTTGTATTTTTTGTGATTTAATGAAAACTTTATTACATATAAGAAAGTGTTGTTTAGTAATAGAGGTATAGTTAACACAGGTGTTCACTATTTGCTAATTATTTGATAGTTTTAATTAAATTTTTAATTTAGTGAATTTAGTTTAACATTTAGTGAAATTATTACTAAAAATCTTAACTTTTAACTCAATTAATCAATTAATTAAATAAAAATCATTAAAACAAATGCACACCAAATGCTACATTTAAAAAACTCAATTGAAAAATCTTAATTAAAACTAAAAGCCAATCAATTAATTATAAAATAGTGAACACATGTGCTAACTATACCTCTATTACTGAACAACACATTCTTATGTGTAATAAAGTTATCATTAAATCACAAAAATATATAACAATTGTATTGACATTAAAGTATAGCTGACTGTCAAACAATTATAACAAAATACGACAATTGAATTGTACTGATTACTGATATATGCCCAAGCACATAGATTGGTGTTAGAGTGTGACATGACCATGCTAACAAAGTATAAGCACATTGGATGGTGTTTTTGTGGATCACACGACGTCGGCCAGATAGTCAATGAAGTCCTGTCGACACCCGACAACCCCTCCAATTAATGTTCATCTCTTTGTCGGGCATTCATACAATGGTCTCCCATATCAAGTGACAACCCGTATGATCATCGGTCGGGTAATTCTGGCCAACCGTATGGCCCCGTATAGGAGACCTAACAGTGTATATACGAGTAAATGGTTTAATGTTTTGTGAGCTCATTGTGTTTCTAACCCTTTATTGTTTGTAACACAAACTCTCAGTAATAGAGTATATTTTAGTGGAAATATGTTTTGTGAAACAATATAAGTTAATAACACTTGTAATATTACATATAAATAATTATATTTTATAAAATTCTACTAGACTAAATAAGTTGTACTAACAAAATTAATTTTATAAAATCTTTTATATTTACTACAAATAAAAATAATAAATACCAAAATAGCTAATGAACTGGAATATATTATAATTAATACCTCGTGTATATATAACACCTAGTATCTCAAACTATTTATTATGTTATGTTACAAACACTATTAATTTTATTTTATTTAATTATAACTTTTGCTAATTGGCTTTCAAACTTAGCCAAGTGTCCATAGTGTGTTAAAGGTATGGTATGTGCTAGGTGACATTTACATTGTATAAGCCATGTCATTCCCTAACACGCTGTGGGTGTTAGTTATCGCAGCACTATTTGCTATACTGTTCTGTATATTAAATTGTAATCTTAAAACATTGTTAATATAATTGAATAATAATTGAAAATATATTGTGTGAGCTTATATAAATATATTTAACACGATTAATTATTTGATTTTCAATTTATTTTGTTTAATTTTATTTGTAATTTTAATACAATTTTTAAAGAAATTATTGTAACATTTTAATCAATTTATTAAATAAAAAGTCATTTAAACAAATTCACAAAAAATGCTATAAATTTATTATATGAAACTTAATCAAAATTAATTATTCAAACTAAAGTCTAATACCTTTATATTAATTAGCAAATAATGAACATCTCAGCTAACCAGTATTAAATATACATTTATTACTGTATTAAATAACTCTTTCTTTTGTGTAATAAAGTTATCATTAAATAAGAAAACTATTTTGAAAAATAATTAAAACATACATTTTATTGTCTGTAGTTAGTATACTGTATAACGTAAAACGTAAAAATTTTTATTTAATACAGTATATAAAATATTTTGTAATCCATTATAAAAATTATAATACATGTACAGAGGTTGAGGTCGGACCTGAAGTCGGTTCAGATTGAAAATTTTGATGTCAGATCGAGGTCCGACGTTTTTGGGCACAGGTCCAAATGGATCGACCTAGGTCGAGGTCTCAGTGAGGTGCTTACCAAAATTTTAACTAAAAATGTTACTTTTTGTCATATTTTCCATATTCTAATTTCTATAAATTAGTTACAGAATCACTTTTTAAAGCAAATTTCTTTAAAGGATTATATTTTCAATGTTACTAGTTAAAAATTATAAAATTTAATTATAAAATAATGTGATTATAATCTAATCTACTATCTATTAAATTTTTTATGATCATAACATTAGTTCAATGCAGGTCGAGGTCGAGATCCTTGATTTTTGGACCCAGGTCGAGGTCGGGAATTTTCGGGCATATATTATATTTTACAAGTAATTCACATAAAATTATTGCTAAACAACTTTTTTCATCATTTTTTGCTCAATATAAAACCAAATAATTACACAAATATTTTTATAAATAAGCAAAAGTTCTCAACGAAACCCATAAATCATTTGAATCGAGAGAATTTAAACGAGTGAAATGAATTTGAATCTAAACATTGAGACACAATACAAAAGTTGCAATATTTTACTAATACTTCTGATATCTTGTGTGAACTGATTCACAAAAATAAGCCCAAAATGCATGAAAGAGTCGGCGAATGAGCCCTGCTTTGAATTATTGACACATCTTTCAGATTGAATAGCATTTTAACGTTTTGTCTAAATAAAACCCAATAATTTATACCATAAATAAATCTCTTATGAATGACTATACAAATGGCAAAAATTTTCTGATGAACTGATAGGCTGTCTGAAGAAATCGTTATTATAAGTACTGGTCTTAAAAATGTGGATATAATTGTAAATAATATTAAAATTGATTATGAGATTTGATTTAAATGACTAATACTGGAATTGTTGATATCATGATTGTCACTAAATAACTAAAATGCATATAAATAATAAATTTTACGTTGAATTCATGACTTTACAAACTATAAAGTAAAATCAATCATTTATTAGAAAGTGAAAACTGATTATATGTTACATGAGCGATTCTATACTAAAGAATAAACTTACAAATTTTTATTATAAACTTCATTATACAAATTATTGTATAATTGCCGATCTGAATATAATTTCATTTGAATGAATATCTCATTATTTTCTATCCATGAGTTGTACTTGTTTTTAACCGAATATTTAGACAGTGCATCAATGTACTTTCGCAAAAAGGGTAATAATTTATTCATTTGCAACTCATCTGTAATATCTGGAAATATGTAATAAATATGAAAATATGTTTTACAATAAGTTGTCACACATATGAAGCCATATAACTATAAATTTAAACTATATTTTCAACTCTGCTTTAATTTGGCGGTAATATTGCTAAATGTTGTTGTTCTTTACATGCGTATTAAAGCAGAGTTGAAAGTACTATCCATTTTTATCTACCACATACACTGTAACTTATATTACAGAATGTCTTACAGTATAGTCCTTGATGCTTTTTGCATAACGAATACATTTGTTGAGAAATTTTATGTTTAGCTTTATATATTGAATATGTTAGCCCACGAAATTGTATCCCGATTATTTTGAACATTGATTTGCTAATCGCGTTAATGTCGATTATATCTATATACATATAAAAATGTCCAAGTTTGTAATTTAAAATAAAATTAAAATATAAATATCTAACCATTAATTACATTTCCATTATTCATATGAATTACACAAAACGGTTTGCTTTCAATAAATAGATTGTAAAGAGAATCACATTTTCTTTCAATCATAGCATTCAATACTGAATTGAATTCTTTGACTCCAATAATGGGTTTATTTGTCATAAATGTCTGCAATTGTGATAAAATGTGCGAACATTCGGGTCTTTGCCTCCAATCTGTTGAACCGTTTTTGCGATACTTATTGACACTCATTGACACCAATAATGCATTCATTTTATGCATCAATTCATTCATATCTTTATTATATTGTTCTATAAAATTAATACTAAAACTCAAGAAATTATTATTTGAAATTAAATTATAGTTTATTTGATTAAATAGTAATATAAAAATGAAATCATACTTTTCTTCCTTTATATCGATTGTATTGAAACCAAAAATTTGAGCCCCAATTAGGGATAGACTGTAGACATCTATCTTATGATTGTAATTATCGCCCATAGCTTCCGGTGCCATATAGTCAACAGTTCCCACATCTGCCGTATGCTTGACTTCAGACATATGAAACGAATCGGAATTATAGACCTCTTTAGCCAAACCAAAGTCACATAACTTTATACTCCCATAGCTTGTAATCAAAACATTATCCGGTTTGAGGTCTCTATGAATGATCTGTGGATCCGATTCATGCAAATATTGCACACATTCTGTGAGTTTACGAAACATTTGATACGATATATAAAACTCAGAAATAGTCATCAATTCATTAAACAATAATTTCTTAGTTTCCAAAACATTGTTGAGATTATCGATACATAACTCCATTTGAAAGTAAAGACAATCGCATTCAATCCATGAATAGTAGTATTCAATGACAAACTCTGACCGAAGTTTCACAAGACTTTTGGTTTCATTCAAAACATTTTGCTTTTCTCTTTCTGTCAATCCTTTAGAAAAAATACAAATATATGAGAAAGCAATCTATGATTCCCCAAAAAAGTTCAATTTTAACTTTCAATATTCCTTTACATATGAGACGATATGAATAAAAGGGTGATTTGTTTCAAGACAGTTGTTGTGCATAAGAACACTGTCAATACAATACAGAATTTGCTAAGCTGGCACTCGGGATTTTTTGATTGGATATGAACGTCCATTCAATGCTGAGTCAGAATATGTAATTTATAT